TAAAAGTTCTAATCCTTACTGTGTACCTGCCCAAACACAATTATGACTACATCATAGCAAAGGAAATACCTTAACATTGTTGGTTGCAGGTAATCTCAAACTATGCAACACAACCAATGCCACCTTCCCAAACATTCTTCCCTGTGCTGAAGAACAAAGCCGGAAAAGTAATGGATTCCACTTTAGCTGAGAGGTCTGTCACAGGGGTCAAGCCCATAGCTTCCAGTTAGGCAATTATAACATCTTAGACTGGAGCTCCCATGGCCATTTTGAAGGGGACCTGCCCCTCCACACCTGTGGGTATTTCTCGCAAGGTGGAGACGAGAGACTGAGAAAAGAAATAAGACAGAGAGACAAAGTATAGAGGAAGAAAAGTGGGCCCAGGGGACTGGTGCTCAGAAAGTGAGGACCTGCACCGGCACTGGTCTCTGAGTTCCCTCAGTATTTATTGATCACTATCTCTACTATTCTGGCAAGGGGGATGTGGCAGAACTATAGGGTATTGGTGGGGAGAGGGTCAGCAGGAAAACATATGAGCAAAGGACCCTGTGTCATAAATAATTTTAAGGAAAGGTGCTGTCCCTCGTGCATGTAGGCCAGATTTATGTTTGACTTTACACGAACATCTCAATGCAGTAAAGAGCAGTATTGCTCCCAGCATGTCTCACCTCCAGCCATAAGGCAGTTTTCTCCTATCTCAGTAAACAGAATGTATGATCAGGTTTTACACTGAGACATTCCATTCCCAGGGACGAGCAGGAGACAGATGCCTTCCTCTTATCTCAACTGCAAAGCGGCCTTCCACTTTCACTAATCCTCCTCAGCACCGACCCTTTACGGGTGTTGGGCTGGGATATGGTCAGGTCTTTCCCTTCTCACAAGGCCATATATCAGGCTGTCTCAGTAGGGGGAAGCCTTGGACAATACCCAGGCTTTCTTGAGCAAAGGTCCCTGTGGCCTTCCACAGTGCATTGTGTCCCTGGGTACTCGAGAATGGAGAATGGCGATGACTTTTTCCAAGCATACTGCCTGCAAACATGATTTTGACAAAGCACATCCTGCACAGCCGTAAATCCATTAAACCTTGAGTCAATACAGTGCATGTTTCTGCAAGCACAGGGTTGGGGCTAGGGTTACAGATTAACAGCATCCCAAGGCAGAATTTTTCTTAGTACAGGTCAAAATGGAGTTTCTTATGTCTTCCTTTTTCTACATAGACACAGTAACAGTCTGATCTCTCTTTCCCCCACACATTTGCAGGGTGACCATACTGATGTCCACATCCATTGTGGCATCAATCACAGTTTTGTAGTCACATCCCGTTCCCCTATGATTTGGGCCAATGGGGAGATGAGATATCCCAGACCCCAAGTAAAGTAGATGCCACCCCAAGACACTTTATGGCACTTGGGACATCTTAGCACCTCCCTTAATATCTGGCATGGGACATATCATAATTCCAGTAACAATTACACTATGACTGTTATTCATAATCACACAGATCAGTGCCTGATTTGCACTACCCATCCATATGTTTTCCTTATGGGAACTAATATTTCCATTACACCCCAAAACTCCAAGTTTGTGACCTGAGTGCAGGGACAGGCTTGGTTCACCTCATGTATCACTAATTACAATATATCTAACTAAAATATTACTAGTGTCATGGTATTAAGGAGAAAATCTGAGGCATTCCTACCAGTCATTTTGACACGTGATGGACAAGGTTCCTCTGCCCTTGCCACCTTAGAACATGCCCTGTCCCAGGTCAGACCCAAAAGACTCATAGGCACACTTATAGCCTTTAAAATCTCAGCCATAGTCATCTTGGCAACTGCTATTGTTGTTGTGGCCTCTATTACTGAATCAGTACAAACAGCTACCTCTGTAGACAACTTGGCAAAAAAAATGTGTCTAATGAACTTCTCTTACAGCAGGGTATTGATCAAAAGATTCTTGCACGCCTGCAAGCCTTGAGGCTGCCTTGGAATATGTAGAGGAGCGACAAGATGCACTGGCATTCTGACAGCAATTAAACTGTGACTGGGAGTATTAGCATATCTGTGTCACCTCTCTATCTTGGAATCAATCAATAAATAGTTGGGATGAGGTGAAACAACACCTCTGGGGAAACTTACATGATAATTTAATAGCAGACATAAGGCAATTTAAAATTCTAGAATCCCTAAACGCCATAGATCTACATGCCCAACAAACAGCCATATGGAAGGATGTGCAAGGACATCTCTTCTGGATAGACCCCCACTCCTAGGGGTCACTCCTTGATTGGAAAAGAATGATACTGATTATATTCATTTTTGTCTTATGTTATTTACTAATTCTAGGATGCAAAGCCGGAATGCAGATTATAACTGCTGTGCCTGACAAACCTGTTTCTGCACAAAACCTGATGCAAAAAACAGAAAAGGGGGAGATGTAGGAGATTGGTCATGGTGATGGGAGAAATTATAGGGAAAGATTCAAACCTTCTTGGAAGGTCGGGGGGGTTTGCAAAGCTTCAGGGAAGAATGAGCCGAAGGCAGCTGTTCTTACCCAGGGGCAGAGGGCGTAGGTACAAAGGAATGTAGAGGAGTTTATCTAAATAGCATTTTATTCATGTTGTCCTAAAACCAGCCTTTAATCATTCGCATGCAGGGACTTCTGTCTACTCAGGGGGTTGACAAAGTTTATTACCACAAACCATGTTTGCTCCAAGCCTTTGTCATTGAATCTGTACTAAATAAATGTGAGCATTGCCAGCTTATTGGGGCTGCACTCTCTTGGCTGCTGGACTCTGGTCAGCAGTGCTGAGCCATGTGGTTCCCTAGCTGTGCAGTCAGGCAAAATACCTGTGTCCACATACTTCTTTCATCCGTTGCTCAGTCAGAGTCTGTGGGACAGACTCAGCAATGCTGGAGAGGATGTGGAGAGGATGTGGAGAAATAGGAATGCTTTTACACTGTTGGTGGGAGTGTAAATCAGTTCAACCGTTGTGGAAGACAGTGTGGTGATTCCTCAAGGATCTGAAACCAGAAATACCATTTGACTCAGCAATCCCATTACTGGGTATATACCCAAAGGATTATAACCATTCTACTATAAATAAACATGCACATGTATGTTTATTGTAGCACTAATCACAATAGCAAAGACTTGGAACCAACCCAAATGCCCATCAATGATAGACTGGGTAAGGAAAATGTGGCACATATACACCATGGAATACTATGCGGCCATAAAAAAGAATGAGTTCATGTCCTTTGCAGTGACATGGATGAAGCTGGAAACCATTCTCAGCAAACTAACACAAGAACAGAAAACCAAATACCACATATTCTCACTCGTAAGTTGGAGTTGAACAATGAGAACATATAGGCACAAGCAGGGAACATCATACACTGGGGCCTGTCGGGGGTGGGGGACAAGGGGAGAGATAGCATTAGGAGAAATACCTGTCAATGATGGGTTGATTAATGCAGCAAACCACCATGGCACATGTATGCCTGTGTAACAAACCTGCACGTTCTGCACATGTATCCCAGAACTTAAAGTATAATAAACATATATATTTTTTCATCTTTGGTAGTAGCAGAAGGGGAAGAACACTTAAAGGATCTGTGGAATAAGGGATGCTGAAGTGGGTGATAAAAAATTGATTGAACTTTTCTTGGTGAACTATTTGACACTATATGCTAAAAATATCTATATACTCTGCTCTACTATCTTTTATTCTAGGAAATTATTATAAATAAATAATCAGAGAAGCATAGAAAGATTTATGCACAAGGAGGTTTATTCATAGCAGAATTATTTATAATCATAAAACAATTATTTGAATTCCAACAATGGATGAATGACTTAATAAATTATGATGCAACAAAATCAAGACAGGTCTAAAAAGCAGGATAAGCACCCAACTCTGTTTTTAGTTTTCTATTTAGGTTTACATTTTAAAATATTATGTTTTTATATAATTTATGTCTTTATATAAAAGCCCATAAAGAAATACATCAATATATTACTAGTTGTTATCTTTAGGTGGTGGAATTATGGGTGATTGTTTCCTTCTGTACACTTTTGTGTATTTTGTAAATGTCCTAAAAGAAGCATTTTTTAATATTAAGAAAACAAATATTATAAAATAAAAATAAGTTACAAGGAAAAATGAATAATTGCTCTTTGTGTTTCTCTGTGGAATGGATTAGTTGGATAAAAAAGGTGAGTAATGGGAATGAGAGGGAGATGACTACAATCTGCCTAACATGCCCCAGTTGAATGTTTGTTTTAATAAATTTGTTACTTGAAAATATGCAGCTTCTTTTTTTATTGCCCTACTTTATGAGGGCCCATTTATTGTTTTTTTTTTTTTTTTTTTTTTGAGATGGAGTCTTGCTCTGTGCCCCAGGCTGAGTGAGGAATTTGGGAGGTTGTGACTGTGCACGCCATTCTCCTGCCTCAGCCTCCCGAGTAGCTGGGACTACAGGCGCCCGCCACCTCGCCCAGCTAATTTTCTTGTATTTTTAGTAGAGACGGGGTTTCACCGTGTTAGCCAGGATTCGATCTCCTGACCTCGTGATCCGCCCGTCTCGGCCTCCCAAAGTGCTGGGATTACAGGCTTGAGCCACCGCGCCCGGCCGGCCCATTTATTGTTTAGCTTGTATTGTGTACCATATTTGGTCGTAGTCACTTCATTGTTTCAAAGTTTACATTTTGCAACAATCAATCTTATAAAAAAAGGATAGAATAGAATAAAGAACAAATGTCTGCAGCTTTATGCTTCAAATAAATAAAAATCAGTTCTGACAATGTAAGAACATTCTCTGCTCTTGTAATTCCCACTTTGTTCTGATAAGTTAATTCTCAGATACCGTATGTGAAATAAAGATGTTCTTCTATGATAATTCACGAATTAAACAATGTTAAAGGTTAAACCTCATTAGTTTACCAGATAAATTTTACGTCAGTTGTTAATTATGGAAAAATACTCTTTTCTTTTTAAGGTAATGATTTGAGTGACACGTCATCTAAGGAGGCAAATTCTCGAAGAGATTCTGTCACATTCAAGGATATAGAAAAGAGGTCAGTTACATTCCTTCAGAAAACATGTTTTAATAACCATTAGGTGCCAAACCCTCAAATATGCACAGGATTACTTCTTGATAAACCAATACTTCTGTGTTTTCATAGTATCAGAATCCACTTAAATTCATTTTATTCCAACTTAAAGTTCTTTGTATAGCTGATATAAGATACCAGATTTTATGCTACATTTTGAAGTAATATGCCTTATAGGAATGCATTTGTCCAGCCTCTGTACATATTTGAGAAAGGAATAAAATTGACATGGATTTATTTCATGAATCTGCCATTTATGAGCTGTGAAATGTTGAATTAGTTGCTAAATGTTTTTAAGCTTTAATTTTTTTTCATTTATTAAACTGGAATAATAATGTGATATGTTATGTATCCAGAATAGAACCTAGTACATAGTAAGAGCTCAATAAATTATAGCAATGTAAATTATTAGTTCTACATTTCTTCAGCCATTTTGTAGGATAGAAGAGTCACTGTTGGGCATCTTATTATGAGTCCTTAAGACATTCATGTCACATTTGCTTTTGAATGATAAAACATTCACTTGTGATTTCTATTCTGCCTGTCAGTTCTGCCTTAAAATCCACTCACTTATCTACATCTTGATTATGGCATTCTAACCCAAACCTCCATCATTTCTTGCCTATACTGTTTGCAATAGCTTCCTAATTGGTTTCCCCAATTTTTCCTGCTCATTCTCAGTGTAACAACAAGGAATTAAATTTTTATTAAATAGTGAGTAGCCAAAAAGGGCATTTATAAAACATATATAAGATATAAATAACAATACCGTAATCACCCATATATATACCACTCGGCCATAGAAAAAGCATAGTATTTTATTTTTGAAGTCCTCTGTATTCTCTCCTAGATCTCAGGGTATCCCATCATCTGAGATAACTACTATTCTGGATTTTGTACTTATTAATATATTTCAAAATAGTATATTTTAGCTTTGTGTGTTTTTAACTTTAAATAGATGAAATCATCCTGTATGATCTTCTGTCACTTGCATCTTTTGTCCAACATTACATCTGTTTAGTCCATTGTACATATAGCTATTCTTATTTCTTTTCACTGCTACCAACTAGTCCATTGTCATTATATATATAAACTATGATATACATATATGTATACACACACACACATATGTATCACAGGTTATTTATCCATTGGTAAGCATTTAGATTTTCAATTTTTGTTATTAACAATAGTATTATGATTAATACGTTTGTACATGTCTCTTATAGAAGAAGAGTCTTATGCCTCATATAAGAGTACCTGTCTCTTATATGGAAGAGTTGATCTTTTTAAAACATAATTTAAAATATTTCTTTTCTCTTTTGTAGGGATTTAAGATTTCCCATTACTTTCAAAGTGGAAGAAAAAAAATCTTGGCACAGCCTAAAAAGTTCTGCCTACCTTTCCAGACTCATCTCCTAATCTCTTGCTCTGATTGTGCTTCAGTGACACTTGCTTTTTCTTCAGTTTGTCAAGCCATGATCCTTTGACCTTACGGTCTTGGCACATGTATTCCTTCGTCCAAGATGTTCTTCCTCCTATATTTTGCCAAATATCACCCATTCTTTGGTCTCAATTGAATAGTTACTTCTTCAAAGAGACCTTCCCTGACTCCCACATCTAAACTAGTTATCCCTACTATTATTATTCATGCAGTGCTTGACTCTTATTTTAAGTTCAGGGGTACATGTCCAGGACATGCAGGTTTGTTACATAGGTAAATGTGTGCCATGGTGGTTTGCTGCACAAATCATACCATCACCTAGGTATTAAGCCCAGCATTCATTAGCTATTTTTCCTGATGCCCTTCCTCCCCTGACCACCATCCCAACAGGCCCCAGTGTGTGTTGTTCCCCTGCCTATGTGTCCATGTGTTCTCATCCTTCAGCTCCAACTTATACGTGAGAGCATATAGTGTTTGGTTTTCTGTTCCTGCATTAGTTTGCTGAGGATAATGGCATCCAGCTCCAACCATGTCCCTGCAAAGGACATGATCTCATTCCTTTTTATGGCTGCATAGTCTTCCATGGTGTATATGTACCACATTTTCTCTATCCAGTCTATCATTGATGGGCATTTAGTTTGATTCCATATCTTTGCTACTGTGAATTATGCTGCAATGAACATATGTGTGCATGTATCTTTATAATAGAATGATTTATATTCCTTTGGGTATATACCCAGTAATGGGATTGCTGGGTCAAATGGTATTTCTGCCTCTAGGTCTTTGAGGAATCACTATACTGTCTTCCACAATGGTTGAACTCATTTACACTCCCACCAACAAGTGTAAAAGCATTCCTTTTTCTTTGCAACCTTGCCAGCATCTGTTGTTTTTGACTTTTTAATTATCACCATTCTGACTGGCATGAGATGGTATCTCATTGTGGTTTTGATTTGTATTTCCCTAATGATCAGTGATGTTGAGCTTTCATGTTTGTTGGCCACATGTATGTCTCTTTCCTAGAACTTAAAGTATAATAATAATAATAAATAAATAAATAAATAAATAAATAAATAAATAAATAAATAAATAAAAGAAGTATCTGTCCATGTCTTTTGCCCATTTTTTTAATGGTCTATTTTTCTCATAAATCAGCCTAACTTCCTTATAGATTCTGGATATTAGACCTTTTTCTGGATATTAGACCTCTGGATGGATAGACTGCAGAAATTTTCTCCCATTCTGTAAGTTGTCTGTTCACTCTGATGATAGTTTCTTTTGCTGTGCAGATGCTCTTTAGTTTGATTAGATCCCATTTGTCAATTTTTGCTTTTGTTGCAATTGCTTTTCAAAGTTTTGTCATAAAATTTTTGCCGGTGCCTATATTCTAAATGATATTTGCCTAGATTTTCTTCTAGGGTTTTTGGAGTTTTGGGTTTTACATTTAAGTCTTTAATCTATCTTGTGTTAAGTTTTGTATAAGGTTTAAGGAAGGGGTCCAGTTTCGGTTTTCTGTATATGGCTAGCCAATTCTCCCAGCACCATTTATTAAATAGGGAATCCTTTCCCCATTGCTTGTTTTTGTCACATTGGTCAAAGATCAGATGGTTGTAGATGTACAGTCCTGTTTCTGAGTTCTCTATTCTATTCCATTGTTCTCTGTGTCTGTTTTTGTACCAGTACCGTGTTGTTTTGGTTACTGTAGCCTTGTAGTATAGTTTGAAGTTGGGTAGTGTGATGCCTCCAGCTTTGTTCTTTTTGCATAGGATTGGTTTGGCTATTCAGGCTCTTTTTTGGTTCCATATGAATTTTAAAGTAATTTTTTTCTAGTTCTGTGAAGAATGTCAATGGTAGTTTAATAGGAATAGTATTGAATTTATAAATTGCTTTGGGCAATATGGTCATTTTCATGATATTGATTCTTCTTATCCATGAGCGTAGAATGCTTTTCCATTTGTTTGTATCCTCTCTGATTTCCTTGAGCAGAGGTTTGTAGTTCCCTTTGAAGAGGTCCTTCGCTTCCCTTGTTAGCTGTATTCCTAGGTATTTTGTTCTTTTTGTAGCTATTGTGAATGCAAGTTTATTCATGATTTGGCTCTCTGCTTGCCTGTTGTTGGTGTACAAGAATGCTAGTGACTTTTGCACATTGATTTTGTATTCTCAGACTTTGCTGAAGTTACTTATCAGCTTAAGAAGCTTTGGGGCTGAGATGATGGGGTTTTCTAGATACAGGATCATGTCATCTACAAAAAAGATAATTTGGCTTCTTCTCTTCCTATATTAATACACTTTATTTCTTTCTCTTGCCTAATTGCCCTGGCCTGAATTTCCAATACTATGTTGAATAGGAGTGGTGAAAGAGGGCATCCTTGTCTTGTGCCAGTTTTCAAGAAGAATCCCTCCAGCTTTTGACCATTCAGTATGATATTGGCTGTGGCTATGTTATATATGGCTCTTATTATTATTATTTTTTTTTTTTTTTTTTGAGACGGAATCTCACTCTGTCGCCCAGGCTGGAGTGCAGTGGCCGGATCTCAGCTCACTGCAAGCTCCGCCTCCCGGGTTTACGCCATTCTCCTGCCTCAGCCTCCCGAGTAGCTGGGACTACAGGCGCCCGCCACCTCGCCCGGCTAGTTTTTGTATTTTTTAGTAGAGGTGGGGTTTCACCGTGTTAGCCAGGATGGTCTCGATCTCCTGACCTTGTGATCCGCCCGTCTCGGCCTCCCAAAGTGCTGGGATTACAGGCTTGAGCCACCGCGCCCTGCCGGCTCTTATTATTTTTGAGGTATGCTCCTTCAATACCTAATTTATTGAGAGTTTTAAACATGAAAGGGTGTTGGATTATATCAAAAGCCTTTTCTGCATCTATTGAGATAATCATGTGGTTTTTGTCTTTAGTTCTGTTTATGTGATGAATTACATTTATTGATTTGCATATTTTGAACCAACCTTACATCCCGGGGATGTAGCCAACTTGATTGTGGTGGATAAGCTTTTCGAAGTACTGCTGGATTTCGTTTGCCAGTACTTTTTTTTTTTTTTTTTTAGGATTTTTGCACTGATGTTCATTAGGAATGGCCTGAAGTTTTCTTTTTTGTTGTATCTTTGCCAAGTTTTGGTATCAGGATAATGATGGCCTCAGGAAAGGAGTTAGGGAGGAATCCCTCGTTTTCAATTGTTTGTAATAGTTTCATTAGACATGATCTTCTTTGTACCTCTAGTAGAATTCAGCTGTGAATCCACCTGATCCTGGGCTTTTTTTGGTTGGTAGGTTATTTATTAATGCCTCAATTTCAGAACTCATTATTGGCCTATTCAAGGATTTGATTTCTTCCTGGTTCAGTCTTGGGAGGCTGTATGTGTCCAGGAATCTCTCCATTTCTTTTAGATTTTCTAGTTTATATTCATAGAGGTGTTTATAGTATTCTCCAATGGTTGGTTGTATTTCTATGGAGTCATTGGTGATACTCCCCTTATCATTTCTGATTGTGGTTATTTGATTCTTATCTTTTCTTCTTTATTAGTCTAAGCAGTCTATTTTATTAATTTTTTCAAAAAATCAGTTACTGCATTCATTGATTTTTGAAGGGCTTTTCATGTCTCTATCTCCTTCAGTTCAGGTCTGATCTTGGTTATTTCTTTTCTTCTGGCTTTGGAGTTTGTTTGCTCTTGATTCTCCAGTTCTTTTAGTAGTGATGGCAGCGTGTTGAGATCTTTCTAGCTTTTTGATGTGGGCATTTAGTGCTATAAACATCCCTCTTAACACCACTTTAGCTGCATCCCAGAGATTCTGTACATTATCTGTTTGTTCGCATTAGTTTCAAAGACCTTCTTGATTTCTACCTTAATTTCGTTATTTACCCAAGAGTCATTCAGGAGCAGGTTGTTCAATTTACAGGTAGTTGTGTGGTTTTGAATGAATTTCTTAATCTTGAGCTCTAATTTGATTGTGCTGTCGTCTGAGAGATGTTATGATTTCAGTTCTCTCACATTTGCTGAGGAGTGTTTTACTTCTGATTATGTGATCAATTTTAGAGTAAGCACTATGTGGCAATGAGAAGAATGTATATTGTGTTGTTTTTGGGTGAAGAGTTCTGTAGATATCTACCAGGTCCACTTAATCCAGAGCTGAGTTCAGGTCCTGAATATCTGCGTTAATTTTCTGTCTCAATGATCTGTCTAATATTGTCAGTGGGGGTGTTATCTGGGTGCTCCTGTATTGGGTGCACATATATTTAGGATAGTTAGTTCTTCTTGTCAAATTGAACCCTATACCTGTGAAGAATGTCAATGGTAGTTTAATAGGAATAGCATTGAATCTATAAATTGCTTTGGGCAGCATGGTCATTTTCACGATATTGATTCTTCTTATCCATGAGCATAGAATGTTTTTTCATTTGTTTGTGTCCTCTCTGATTTCCTTGAGCAAGGTTTTGTAGTTCCTGTTGAAGAGGTCCTTCACTTCCCTTTTGTGATTTCATAATCATATGTAATCATATACATAATCATATGTAATGCCCTTGTCTTTCTTTATCTTTGTTGGTTTAAAATCTGTTTTGTCAGAAACCAGGATTGCTACCCTGCTTTTTGTGTTTGTTTCCTTTCCATTTGGTTGGTAAATTTTCCCCCATCCCTTTATTTTCTGCCCATGTATGTCTTTGCACATGAGATGAGTTTCTCGAAGACAGCATACCAATGGGTCTTGTGTGAAATTAATCCTGTCATCATGATGCTATCTGGTTATTTTGCAGACTTCTTTATGTGGTTGCTTCATAGTGTCACTGGTCTCTGTACTTCAGTGCATTTTTATGGTGGCTCATAACGGATTTTTTTCCCCATATTTAGTGCTTGCTTCAGGAGCTCTTCCAAGGCAGGCCTGGTGGTGATGAATACCCTCAGCATTTGTGTATCTGAAAAGGGTATTATTTCTCCTTTGCCTATGAAGCTTAGTTTGACTGGATATGAAAATCTAGGTTGTAAAGTCTAGGAATGTTGGATATTGGCCACCCAATGTCTTCTGGCTTATAGGGCTTTCTCTGAGAAGTCCACTGTTAGTCTGATGTGCTTCACTTTGTAGGTGACCTGGCCTTTCTTTCTGGCTGCCCTTAACATTTTTTCTTTCATTTCAACCTTGGAGAATCTGATGTTTATATGTCTTGGGGTTGATTTTTTTTCATGGAGCACCTTACTGGGTTTCTCTGCATTTCCTGAATTTGAAGGTTGGCCTGTCTTGCTAGATTGGGGAACTTCTCCTGGATGATATCCTGAAGTATATTTTCCAATTTGGTTCCATTCTCCCCATCTCTTTCAAGAACCCCAATCAGTCATAGCTTCGGTATCTTTACATAATCCCATAAATCTCAGTGGTTTTTGTTCATTTCATTTCATTTCTTTTTATTGTTTTTTCTCTATTCTTGTCTGCCTGTCTTATTTCAGAAAGATAGTCTTCAAGCTCTGAGATTCTCTCCACTTGGTCTATTCTGCTATTGATACTTGTAATTTTATTGTGAAATTCTAGTATTGTGTTTTCTGGCTTTATCAGGTCAGTTATGTTCCTCTCTAAACTGGCTATTCTGGTTATCAGCTCCTGTATTGTTTTATCACGATTCTTAGCTTCTTTGCATTGGGTTACAACATGCTCCTTTAAGTCATTATTACCCACATTCTGAAGCTTACTTCTGTTAATTCAGCCATCTCATCCTCAGCCTAGTTTTGCACCTTTGCTGGAGAGATGTTTCAGTCATTTGGAGAATAGGCACTCTGGCTTTTTGAGTTTTCAGCATTTTTGCATTGATTCTTTTTCATCTTTGTGGGCTTATCTACCTTAAATCTTTTATCTTGCTGACCTTCGAGTGGGGTTTTTGTGAGGTATTTTTGTTGATGTTGTTATTGTCATTTTTTGTCTGTTTTTCTTGGAGTCAGACCACTTTTCCATAGGGCAGCTACAGCTTATTGGAGGTCCACTTCAGCCCCTACTTGCCTCAGGTTTTTCCTTACCTGGAGGTATTACCAGTGAAGACTTTGAAACAGCAAAGATGGTAGCCTATTCCTTCCTCTGGAAACTGTGTCCCAAGGGGTGCTGACCTGTTTCTGGCCTGAACGCTCCTATAGGAAGTGTCTGGAGACCCCTGTTGGGAGGTCTCACCCAGTCAAGAGGAACAGGATCAGGAACTCCCTTAAAGAAGCAGTCTGGCTGCTTCTTGGTAGAGCAGGTGTGCTGCGTGGGGGGTGGCCCCTCCTTGCCCAGACCACCCAGACTCTCCATAGCTGGAAGGCTGAAACAGCTGAGTCAACCAAACCACAGAGACAGCAGCCAACCCTACCTCCAGGAGATCCATCCCAGGGAAAGATCAGAGTTCCGTCCATATAACTCTGGGTGGAGTGGCTGAAACCTCTGCAGGGAGGCCCCACCCAGTGAGGAGGAATAGATTGGGGTCCCTCCTAAAGAAGCAGTCTGGCCACAATTTGGCAAAGTAGCTGTACTGTGTTGTGGGGAACCCCTTCTCCTGACCACCTGGACTCTCCAGAGCCATCAGGCTGGAACAGCTGAGTCAACCAAGAGATGGCAGCTTCCCTGCCCCCTGGGAATTTGGTCCCATCTCACTCAGCCTCCAGCCTATTGCCATTGGGTGGCTGGAATTCCAAGTCAGTGGGTCTTAACTCGTGAGGTGCCTTGGAATTGGGGCCCAGAGAATGATGCTGGTTGACTCCCTGGATCCAGCCCTTTTCCTATCAGGAATTATGGATAGATTTCCTGCCTTTCTGGGATTCCTGGGTCCAGAGTACATAAAACTCTTAGGTCTCTGTGTGTACCTGAGTGGCTGCTCTGCCAAGATTCCCCACAGCTCTGTGTATGGGACCCAAGCCCCTGGTGGCATTGGCTCACAGGGGATCTCATGATCTGTGGGTTGCGAAGATCCATGGGAGAAGCATGGTTTCCTTGGTGGTGTTGCACACTCCCTCACTGCTTCCCTTGGCTGGGGGTAGAAGGGGATTCCTTTGGCTATGTGACGCTCACAGGTGGACCATTACCCCACTCTGCTTTTCATTCTCCATGGGTTGAGTTGTTTGCCTAGTCAGTCCCAGTGAGAGAACCTGGATATTTCAGTTGAAGGTGCTGAATTCTCTCACTACTTTCATTCCTCCTCATGAGTGCCAAGGGCAGCCGCTGCTTCTAATCGGCCATCTTGGCTCCTTGACCAACTTTTTTCTTTACACTTATCATGGTTTAGCATTAATTCTCCTGTTCTGTAAAAAAGGGATTGTATCTGTTTTGTTCAGAAAAACCAACACATAATAACTACTCAAATATTTGCTAAGTGAACTATTACATATGGCTAGAAATTTCAGATGGAATTGTACAAATGACCTGTACATTAATGATTGCTAATAAATTCCAGTTTAGTGACATATTTTAGGTTTTTCACAATTTATAAATAGTTTTATGATAGTACTAAATTCTGAACTATATGAAATGTCTTTAAATCAGGCTCAAATGTCATGTTCAGCCCCATCACCATCACCATAGAATTTCATGATCCCACCAACCATGGATGATCTGGGTTAATCCAGAGTGGAGAAGACTCTCTCCAGATTCAGACTGCCTGGCTTTAGCCAGGTTGAACTAAATCAGCCTCTAGGACTTGGCTGAGAGGAATACAGCGTGAATGACTATTCACTTATGTCTTTCCACATAAAATTAAGAATTATAATTTCCTCTTCCAAAATACAGATAAACTGTCAGTAATAAACTGACCTAAAATAAAAATGAAATATTTTTACATAAATTAAAACATATACATATATTAAACATATGTATATTAAATAACATACTAAAGGTATATTAAATAAAGTATGTTATAAATAAAAGTATATATACATATGTTAAATAAAAACATATTAAATGTATATTTGAAATAAAGTTTGACTATACAAGTTTTATACATATGGTACTTTAAAAATAAAAATAGTAATTGTATAATTTACATGACAGTTATCAAAGGAAACTGAAACTTTTATATTAACACCTAACTGCATTACAATTTTTAATAATGAAACTTTAACATTATATTAAAATAAATTTCTATTCCTAAACTGCTTTCTAAAAATGTTAACCTTCATCCTTCCATACCTGTCTACCCCAGGGATGAAAATACGTGGTGTCCAGAGAAATATCCTGATAAATTAACAAAAATTATTCAAAAGCTTTTTGTGTTTGCCTTTACTTGGGCATTTGGAGGAGCTTTAAACCGTGAAGATGAACACAGAGAAAATATACCATTTTGTCCCAGTTTTGAACCTGATTCTCTTGCAAAAGTAACATACGATTTTGACAAACTTATTCATGAATTATTTGGAAGCAATTCACAAGTAGGTAAGTTCTGGGGGGATAATCATAACTATACTTATTTTAAAATATTAATTTAAAGCAATGCTTGGTTTATAATGATTAGGTTCATCTTTTAAAATGTTAAGATTAAAGGAAAAAGAAGGTTTATAATACACCCAATACCCTCCTTGTAGTGAAATAAGCTGAAGAAAATTACATTCCTGTTTGATTTTAGGTGCTACAAAAACCTATAATGCTAGTAAGGCAGAAGATAAAGCTGTAAAACTATGAACTCAGTTACTCTTAGCTCATCTGCTGTGTATCTGGATCTGTATTATCCATACCACCATGTAGCAAGAAATTCTGTAGGATCATAATATTATAGTCTTATATTTCTTTTTTAAAAAAAAAAAGCAAGTTATTTTATAAAGCCTTAGATTTCTTTAGTACTTGTGTTTTTGAATCAGTTCTAACAAATGGAATCTATCCTATTCCTTTGAAACAGTAAACCTTTGCAATTAGCTGTTGTTGACTAAAGGAACTTTGAGTAGATAAAGTGATTGTTGATGCAGGTACCAAAAAGAGACAAAATGTTAAGCATAAATATATTTAGAAGAACTTTGTTAAAGATGAATGCTAACAACATTATACCAAAAATACAAATCCTACTGATTTGTCTGATGTATCTGTTTGAGGTTACAGTCATACATTGCTGAACAACTGTGATATGTTCTGAGAAATGTGCTGTTGGGGGACTTTTTTCATTATGTGAATGTCAAAGAGTGAACTTACACAAACCTAGATAGTGTAGCCTACTACACACCTAGGCTATATGGCATAACCTATTGCTCTAAGGCTATAAATATGTACAGCATGTTACTGTACATATTTGAATACTGTAGGCAATTGTAACAACCTAGTATCTGTGCATCTAAACATATCTAACCACAGAAAAGGTACAGTAAATATTTAGTATAAAAAATTTAAAATATGGTACACCATTCACTTACCATGAATGGAACTTGTGGGACTGGAAGTTGTTCTGAGTTAGTGAGTGACTGGTGAGTGACTGTGAAGCCCTCAGACATTACTGTACACTACTGTAGACGTTATAAACTCTGTACACTTAGGCTACACTAAATTTATTTGTAAATTTTTTCTTTCTTCAGGCTGGGTACAGTAGCCCATGCCTGTAATCCCAGCATTTTGGGAGGCCAAGGCAGGAAGATTGCTTGAGCCAGGAGTTCAAGACTAGCTTGGGCAACATAGTAAGACCCACCCATCTCTAAAAGCAAATAAGTGAATAAATAAAAAGCCAGACATAGTGGTATTCTCCCATAGTTTCAGCTACTTGGAAGGCTGAGGTGAGAGGATCGCTGGAGCCCAAGAGTTGGAGGCTGCAGTGAGCCATGATCATGCTCCTGTACTCCAGCCTGGGCAACAGATTAAGACAGCCTCAAAAAAAAAAAAAAAAAAAAAAAACACAAAAAAGAACTTGCTTCAATAATAACCTTAGCTTACTATAATTTTTTTCACTCCATAAGATTTTAACTTTTTTTCACTTTTGACTCCTTTGAAACAACACTTAGCTTAAAGCAAAAACACATTGTATAAAAATATTTTCTTGATATCTTTATTCTGTTTTTATGTTTCATTTTATTTCTTTACTTTTTGAACTTTTTTGTTAAAAGCTAAGACACAAACACACACATTAGGCCTACGTGGGGTCAAGTTCATCAATATCGCTGTTTTCCACCTCCATATATTGTCCCACTGGAAGGTCTTCAGGGCAATAATACACACAGAGCTGTCATCTCCTATGATAACAATGCCTTCTTCTGGAATACTGCATGAAGGACCTGCCTGAAGCTGTTTTACAGTTAACTTTATATATAAATAAAAGGAGTGCACTCTAAAATAATGATAAAAAGTGTATTATAAATACATAAACCAGTAACATAGTCATTTATAATCATTATCACATGTTATGTACTGTAGATAATTATATATGCAACTGGCACCAGCATCACCACAAACATAATTAGTGCATTGTGCTATGACATTATGACAGCTATAATGTTATGATGACTATGCTGTCACTAGGTGATAGGAATTTTTCAGCTCCATTGTAATCTTGTGGTAACATCATTATATATCCAGTCCACGATTGACTAAACATGTGACACATTACTGTATTTGTTAAAAGTTCTATTTAAGACATCTGGAAGGCAAAGATTCTGTGTTATTTCCTGTGGAAATTAACCTTTAATCCAAAAGCATTGCGTGTTAACTTGTTGAAATGAATGATTCAACTTCATGCCTCTAACTCCTATAGATAAATAAATTGCCTTAATTTATTTGTTAGGCAGAAAAACCTAAAACTCTGTTTGCTTTCCCTGTAAACTAAAAGGCAACTTAATAAATTATTCATTATATTTGAATGCTTATCTTAAAACAATGAATATGAAATTTTGCTTTATCATCTGAAACATCAGTATAAAACTGGGTTAGAATAGGAGGGTAAAAAGGGAAGGAAAGACAAGTAGAAGCAATTATAGAACTATAAAACCACCAAAGTAGAAATAAGGAAAAAGAAAAAAAGGAGGGAGAGCAAAAAAAAAATTATAATTACATTGCAAGAAAAAATTGTAAAACACATAAAGAAAACCTAATCTATTAAGGAAATATACCACCAAAATGGCCCCTCATATTAATTCATCTCGGGGAAAATTATTATGACCTAACACAGATTTTAATGTTAAGTGTTTAGGGTTCTAAAAAGATAAATGAATGGCATCCATTTTTAATAAATGAGGAATTATGGAACAACAAGTAGAAATTTTAAAAGAACATATAGCTATGAAAAAGAATGAAATAGACAACTGGAAATGAAAAATTTAGTTATTTACAAAGAGAAAGTCTTATCAGCTTAAGGAGTTTTGGGGCTGAGACAATGGGGTTTTCTAAATATACAATCATGTCATCTGCAAACAGAGACAATTTGACATCCTCTCTTCCTATCTGCATACCCTTTATTTCTTTCTCTTGCCTGATTGCCCTAGCCAGAACTTCCAATACTATGTTAAATAGGAGTGGTGAAGAGGGTATTCTTGCCTTGTGCTGGTTTTCAAAGGGAATGTTTCCAACTTTTGCCCATTCAGTATGATATTGGCTATGGGTTTGTCATAAATAGCTCTTACTATTTTGAGATGTGTTCAATCAATACCTAGTTTATTGAGTGTTTTTTAGCATGAAGGAGTGTTGAATTCATCAAAGGCCTTTTCTGCATCTATTGAGATAATCATAGGGTTTTTGTTACTGGTTCTGTTTATGTGATGGATCACGTTTATTGATTTGCGTATGTTGAACCAGCCTTGCATCCCAGGGATGAAGCCAACTTGATTGTTGTGGATAAGCTTTTTAATGTGCTGCTGGATTCATTTTGCCAGTATTTTATTGAGGATTTTTCATCGATGTTCATCAGGGATACTGGCCTGAAATTTTCTTTTTTTGTTGTGTCTCTGCCAGGTTTTGGCATTAGGATGATGCTGGCTTCATAAAATGAGCTAGGGAGGAGTCCCTCTTTTTCTAGTGTTTGGAATAGTTTCAGAAGGAATAGTACCATCTCCTCTTTGTACCTCTGGTAGAATTCAGATGTGAATCTGTCTGGTCCTAGGCTTTTTTGGTTGGTAGGTTATTAATTACTGCCTCCATTTCAGAACTTGTTACTGGTCTATTCAGGGATTCATCTTCTTCCTGGTTTAGTCTTGGGAGAGTGTATGTGTCTAGGAATTTATCCATTTCCTATAGGTTTTCTAGTTTATTTGCATAGAGGTTTTTATAGTAATCTCTGATGGTAGTTTGTATTTCTGTGGGACCAGTGATGATATCCCCTTTATCATTTTTTATTGTATCTATTTGATTCATTTATTTTCTTCTTAATAGTCTGGCTAGTGGTCTATCTATTTTGTTAATCTTTTCCAAAAACCAGCTCCTGGATGGTTGATCTTATGAAGGGTTTTTCGTGTCTCTATCTCCTTCAGTTCTCCTCTGATCTTAGTTATTTCTTGTCTTCTGCTAGCTTTTGAATTTGTTTGCTCTTGCTTCTCTAGTTCTTTTAATTATGATGTTAGGGTGTCGATTTTAGATATTTCCCACTTTCTGATATGGGCATTTAGTGCTATAAATTTCCCTCTTAACACTGCTTTAGCTCTGACCCAGAGATTCTGGTACATGTGCCTTTGTTCTCATTGGTTTCAAAAAATTTATTTATTTCTGCCTTAATTTTATTATTTACCCAGTAGTCATTCCAGAGCAGGTTGTTCAGTTTCCATGTAGTTGTGTGGTTTTGAGTGAGTTTCTTAATCTTGAGTTCTAATTTGATGGCACTGTGGTCTGTAATTACGCACCTGGGTGTGTAATCAGGATAGATATACTTAGCACTGGCAAACAGCTTCACCTTAATTTCATGACCTGTGGAATAAGATTTATAATGACATCAGAAGCCAAATGAAAGCCCTTCCCACAGTCAATTCTCAGTCCACAGACCTCAAACCAATACTTCATCCTGGAAGAAATGGCAGATATCAATGACATCCTCAGGTCTTCAAAGATGCAGGTGTGAGTTATCCATTATATTCCTACTTAATTCACTAACCCGATCTTTTGAAATAAAAAAGATGGATCAAGGTGGGTGATGGTGGACTATAATAATCTTAAACAAATAGTAATCCCAGTCACGTTGGCAACTATTTTTACCAGAGTAGGTCATCTCAATCTCTGGCATTTGGTATGTGTTCTTGACCTGGTGAATACGTTTTCAGTCCCTATCAAGAAGGAAAACAAGAAGTATCCTCATTTATTTGGGATGGACAGTAATAAATCATGGCCTTGCCCCAGGTAGTAAATGAAATGAGCCCTATGATTGCCCCAGCTGTCTACCTGGAGGAGCATTCCAGATGATGGCCCAGGGAAGGGAACCTAAGCAGAGCATAATGGCCTTACTGAACTGAGAAGACAGAGCTTGATTGAGGTATATTTTACATACCATCAAATTCACCCACTTCAAGTATATATATCAGTGATTTTTTAGTAAGTTTACTGAATAATGCACCCATCACCATACATCAGTTTTAGAATATTTTCATCTTTCCATTATGATCTCCATGCCCATTTACAGTTAATCCTTATTCCCATCCCCAACTGTAGGCAATGAATTTGCTGTCTTAGTAAATTAAGCCTTAATAAGCATTTTAAGAAATCAACTCCTATAATATATGGTCTCTTGGGTCTGGTTTATTTCATATATCCTAATGTTTTTGAGGCTCATCCATGATGTATCATCTGTCAGTAGTTAATCTGCTGAATAGTATTCCATTCTGTGAATATATCACATCTTGTCTATCCATTTACGAGTTGGTGGACATTTAGATTGTTTAAAGTTTTGAGCTATTATGGATAATGCTTTTATGCATCATATGCAAGTCTTTCTATGGACATATGTTTTCATTTCTCTTGGATAGATGCCTAAGACAAGAATTGCTGGGTCATATTGTGGTAGTTTTAGGTTTAATTTTTTAACCAAACTTTTTTCCAAAATGACAGCACTAGTCTACGTTCCCACCAACAATATGTTAGGGTTCCTGTTCTCCAAATCCTCCCCAACATTTGGAGGCAATTTGTCATTGTCTTTCTCATTTAGTATAGCTGTTCCAGTGGGTATGAAGTGTATCTCACTGTGTTTTTAATCTGCATTTCTCTAATGACTAATGATATATAATAAAGGCATGGACACTTAGTTAAACCGGGGATTAGCATACTACAGCCTGTAAGGCAATTCCAGCTTGTAGCCTACTTCTGTACAGCCTGTAAGCTAAGAATGATTTTTATATTTTTAAGGGATTTGTAAAGGAAAATAAAGGAGAATGTACAACAGAGATTGTATGTGGCATGCTGTTTTTACCATATTTGTTTGGGTGAGGTATGGTGAGGCCAGACTCAGTTCAAGAAAAGGGAACTGGAAAGGGTTTTACAGTTTTGTTATACTCACAGGTTCCTGAAGAGAAAGAACATGACACATTGGGCAACTCAGGAGGGAAGCACTGGGGTCAGTCCCAAGGCAGAGGGAGAAAGAGGAACTGTGGGGAAGTACCTTTATTGTGATTTCTGCAGGAAGGAATGAGGCCGTGTAAATGGGCTTGGGATTGGCTAGTTTGAATAATTTCAGCAAGTTCTGGGGAACAGGGCCATCCCTGGCTATCTGATACCTTGCCTTGGGGTGATATATTTCTGTTGTTCAAGCCACCCAGTCTATGGTATTTTGTTATGGCAGGCCAGGCTAACTAATAGAATAGTCTTTTCAGTAAATAGTACTGGACCAACCGAACATTTATATGTTTAAAAAAAAGGAATTTGACGGACTAATATTATACACTAAAATGGATGATAGGCCTAAATGTAAATTGTAAAAATATAAAGTTTTTTTTGAGGTGGAGTCTTGCTCTTGTCGCCTAGGCTATAGTGATCTCAGCTCACTGCAACTTCCACCTCCCAGATTCAAGTGATTTTCCCACCTCAGCTTCCCAAGTAGCTGGGATTACAGGCAGCTGTTACCACACCCGGCTAAGTTTTGTATTTTCAGTAGAGACGGGGTTCCACTATGTTGGCCAGGCTGGTCTCAAACTCCTGACCTCAAGTGATCTGCCCACCTTGGCCTACCAAAGGGCAGGGATTACAGGCATAAGCCACCATGCCTGGTCTAAATTATAAAATTCTTAAGAAGGACAAGAAAAAAATCCTTTGTGTCCTTCAGGTAGACAAGGAGTTCTTATGCACAACACTGAAAGCATAATCCATAAGAGAAAAAAAATTTAATTAAAACATTTGCTCTGAAGAACATACCATTAAGAGAATAACAATAAGTAATAGAAAGATAAGCCACAGATTCACAGAACATATATAAATTACATATCAAACAAAGATATATCCAGAATAGATAAAGAACTCTTAAAGCACAATAATAAGAAAACACAATTTATTTTTAGAATGGTAAAAAAATTTACAGACACACTTTTTCAAAGATTTATTTACCATTCAAGCGGTAAGTAAGAATATGTGAAATATTAATATTGTTATTACCTTATGGTGAATCCATGGCTAAATTAGTTTACTTTTATTATTCTATATTTTCAGAATTTTCTAAGAAAATGTATTACTTTTATAATAGAAAGATAAGTGTGATTTACAAATAACAAAGTTCTCTGATATATTGGTTTGACCACAATCAGTATGTTACTGGCATTTAACTGCATCCAAACACATGATAATAATCAAAACTTTGGGGTAAGATTTCAAGGAATGTCAGATCATATTTCACCTTGCTTTCTGGGTATAAAGAGGACAAGAAGTTAATAAAACTTCACTTTTATACATTGAAGATTGGGGGAAAACAGGCCTATTTTATATAGTTGGATATAACCTTTGTGAATGATTATTATTTCTGGTTCAATAACCAAATCTTTCAGAGAGAGTTTTCATGGTTAGTGAAACATTCCATAACTGAACCCCTGTCTTAGTTGAATTTATCATTTTCGGTTGTAGGCATCAACCTACCAACTGGTGAATGTTCTATCTTTGGATATTTTGTGGATATAGAGCAATGTGAATTCATACCTTGGTCAGAGTTAGTTCCTAATGATCAGACACTAATTCAAAGAGGTAAGAATAATTATAAGAATCATACTTGTAACTTTAGAAAATTGGGAATACTCTATTTATAAAAGTAATTATACCAGCAACTTTGAGGATTAATATAAGTTTGTGTAGAGACTAGTTTAGATCTATGTTTATAAAATACATCTTTAAAAACATAACCTTTGAATATTACTTTCTGAGAAATTTAGAATATATTTTATTGAATCAAATGCACATTGCAAAACTGTAGCACACTGAAAGTCTTCCTAGGAGCACTATCTATTTCAATTAGTTGTAATTATTGAGACAAGAAAATGGAAAGGACTACTTGTAAAATGTGAAAAACATTTATGTGAAAACTTATACTTCATTATAAATGAAAATGCTAATTAGAAAAGAATAATCATAGTTTCACAAATATCCATATATGCTAAATTGTTTTTATTCCCAATCTTCTGCATCTACAGATGTCAGAAAAAAGAAACTTGGTGCACTTTTACAGCTTGGTAGACATTTGAAGCAGAGGCAGGAATCTAATAATCAAGCCTCTTTAGAGTTCTTGCAAATATTAGAAATTTAATAAATACAAATCGAATTGCTTTGAAGTCAGATTTCTCTCATAAAAGAATTTCAGAGTTGGTTATAAGAACTTTTGACAGCAAACAACCAGAGCTATCAGAATGCTAAAGCATCCAGAGAGTTTTAACTCTACATTTATTTTCCTTGGAAATGCCAAGACTATTTTATTCAATATTTTGTTACAATAAATATTCATGGGCAATCATATTTGTTTACAAGCTGTGAATTGTATTTCATATGTTAGTGCTGATACTGACTCAGAGCCTTAGCTTTTTACCACTATATAGAAAAGTATAACTGAATATTATTAGCATGTGACTCCACATCTTTGTATACCACTCACATGGGAAACCAGAGCTGTTTTCTCCAAATCTAAAACATTACTTCCTCTGGTTGCCACTTACTTTAATTGCAGGCAAAGAGCTTAAAAGTAGCCAAAACATTCCCTGGCTTTCAAACCCAAACGTGTAACAAGAATTTAAATGTCACCATGTAATTTTTTTAATGGTAAACCACAATATGATAAATTGTTTGCACATCCTTGATGTGCTTCAAAAGTCTCCTTTTCTGGTTGAGTAGGATTTTTTTTCTTATACTTCTTTACTTATAAAGAGTAATCCTAATGTATTATTATCAGAAGATGTGTTTTGAAGGTCACCCAACATTCATTAATTTCTTTATTCATTCCAGACATATTAATCAATCTATTTTCTAATGTGCTTACCTAACTGTTTGTTGTGTGAGATTATAGAGAAAGATGTAAGTGGTTCTTTCTTTAATAGCAAGGTAGGAAAATATAAAGGAAAATGATGAAAAAGTTAAATATTAATGTTACCTCTTGCATCAATACCCTGTGTGGCATTCACTGCTGCTTGTCACTCCCATCTCTATTCTTTCCTGTTTCTCTATCATTGGAAGATTCATCTAGCCACTTCATCATTCAGCTAAACCTCCCTTGTAGAGAGGTGTGGTTACGTGACCAGGTTGTAGACAGCAGGATGTGACTAGAGGTGAATCATGCAAATTCCAGATTGTACAATCAAAAGAAAGGAATATACACATATTATCCAATTTTTTCTCCCCCTTCTTGCTCCTGAGATGTGGTGGTGAGACCTAAAGCAACCACCAAGAACCTAGATATGGAAAGTGCAGGCTAAGGATGGCAGGAAAAAAAGATAAAAGAATCCTGGATTCCTAACACTGTGGAGCTGACATGTAGACCATGGGCCGTTACGTAAGAGAGGAATCAAATTCCACCTTTAAAAGCTATGGTTATATTTGGATATTTGTTAAAGCAGACGGAACTTGTATCATAATTAATATACATTTCAGCTCTGGGGACAGGGCATACCTAAACAAAAAGCAGCAGAAACCTCGGTAGAGGTAAATGCTCCTGTCTGACAGCTTTGAAGAGAGCAGTGGGTCTCCCAGCATGGAGGTTGAGATCTGAGAATGGACAGACTGCCTGCTCAAGTGGGTCCCTGACCCCTGAGTAGCCTAACTGGGAGACATCCCCCACTAGGTGCAGACCGACACCTCACACCTCACACGGTGGGGTACACCACCGAGCCGAAGCTTCCAGAGCAAGAATCAGACAGCAACACTCGCCGTGCAGCAATATTCTATATTCTGCAGCCTCCACTGCTGATACCCAGGCAAACAGGGTCTGGAGTGGACCTCTAGCAAACTCCAACAAACCTACAGCTGAGGGTCCTGACTGTTAGAAGGAAAACTAACAAATAGAAAGGACACCCACACCAAAACCCCATCAGTACATCACCATCATCAAAAACCAGAGGCAGATAAAACCAAAAAGATGGGGAAAAAGCAGTGCAGAAAAGCTGGAAATTCAAAAAATCAGAGTGCATCTCCCCCTCCAAAGGAATGCAGCTCATCACCAGCAACGGAACAAAACTGGACGGAGAATGACTTTGACGAGTTGAGAGGAGAAGGCTTCAATCGATCAAACTTCTCAGAGCTAAAGAGGAACTATGTAACCAGTGCAAAGAAACTAAAAACCTTGAAAAAAGAATGGATGGATGGATAACTAGAATAATCAATGCAGAGAAGACCTCAAAAGAACTGATAGAGATAAAAACCGTAACACGAGAAATATGTGACAAATGCACAAGCTTCAGTTACCAACTCAATCAACTGGAAGAAAGAGTGTCAATGATTGAAGATCAAATGAATGAAATGAAGCGAGAAGAGAAGTGTAGAGAAAAGAGAGTAAAAAGAAATGAACAAAGCCTCCAAGAAGTATGGGATTATGTGAAAAAATCCAAATCTAGGTCTGATTGGTGTGCCTGAAAGTGAGGGGAAAATGGAACCAAGTTGGAAAACACTCTTCAGGATATCATCCAGGAGAACTTCTCCAACCTAATCAGGCAGGCCAACATTCAAATTCAGGAAATACAGAGAACACCACAAAGATACTCCTCGAGAAGAGCAACTCCAAGACACATAATTGTCAGATTCACCAAACTTGAAATGAAGGAAAAAATGTTAAGGGCAGCCAGAGAGAAAGGTCAGGTTACCCACAAAGGGAAGCCCATCAGACTAACAGCAGATCTCTCGGCAGAAACTCTACAAGCAAGAAGAGAGTGGGGCCCAATATTCAACATTCTTTAAGAAAAGAATTTTCAACCCAGAATTTCATATCCAGCCAAACTAAGTTTCATCAGTGAAGGAGAAATAAAATCCTTTACATACAAGCATATGCTTAGAGATTTTGTCACCACCAGGCCTGCCCTACAAGAGATCCTGAAGGAAGCACTAAACATGGAAAGGAACAACGAGTACCAGCCATTGCAAAAACATGCCAAATGTAAAGTCTACTGTTGCTAGCAAGAAATTGCATCAACTAGTGAGCAAAATAACCAGCTAATATCACATTGACAGGATCAAGTTCACACATAACAATATTAACCTTAAATGTAAATGGACTAAATGGTCCAATTAAAAGACACAGACTGGCAAATTGGATAAAGTGTCAAGACCCATCAGTTTGCTGTATTCAGAAGACTCATCTCACATGCAGAGACACACATAGGCTCAAAATAAAGGGATGGAGGAAGATCTACCAAGCAAATGGAAAACAAAAAAAAGCAGTGGTTGCAATCCTAGTATCTGATAAAACAGACTTTAAACCATCAAAGATCAAAAGAGACACGGCCATTACACAATGGTAAAGGGATCAATTCATCAGCAAGAGTTAACTATCCTAAATATATATGCACCCAATACAGGAGCACCCAGATTCATAAAACAAGTCCTTAGAGGCTTACAAAGAGACTTAGACTCCCATACAATAATAATGGTAGACTTTAACACCCCACTGTCAACATTAGACAGATCAGTGAGACAGAAAGTTGGCAAGGATATCCAGGAATTGAACTCAACTCTGCCCCAAGTGAACCTAATAGACATCTCTATTAGGTTATAATAGAGAACTATTAGAACTCTCCACCCCAAATCAACAGAATATACATTCTTCTCAGCACCACATCACACGTATTCCAAAATTGACCGAATAGTTGGAAGTAAAGCACTCCTCAGCGAATGTACAAGAACAGAAATTATAACAAACTGTCTCTCAGACCACAGTGTAATTAAACTAGAACTCAGGACTAAGAAACTCAATCAAAACCACTCAACTACATGGAAACTGAACAACCTGCTCCTGAATGACTACTGGGTACATAATGAAATGAAGGCAGAAATAAAGATGTTCTTTGAAACCAATGAGAACAAAGATACAACATACCAGAATCTCTGGGACACATTTAAAGCAGTGTGTAGAGGGAAATTTATAGCACTAAATGCCCACAAGAGAAAGCTGAAAAGGTCTAAAATTGACACCCTAACATCACAATTATAAGAACTAGAGAAGCAAGAGCAAACACATTCAAAAGCTAGCAGAAGGCAAGAAATAACTAAGATCAGAGCAAGAACTGAAGGAGATAGAGACACAAAAAAACCCTCCAAACAATCAATGAATCCAGGAGTTGGTTTTTTGAAAAGATCAACAAAATTGATAGACCGCTAGCAAGACTAATAAAGAAGAAAAGAGAGAAGAATCAAATAGATGCAATAAAAAATGATAAAGGGGATATCATCACCAACCCCACAGAAATACAAACTACCATCAGAGAATACTATACACACCTCTACCCAAATAAACTAGAAAACCTAGAAGCAATGAATAATTTCCTGGACACTTACACTCTCTCAAGACTAAACCAGGAAGAAGTTGAATCCCTGAATAGACCAATAGCAGGCTCTGAAACTGAGGCAATAATTAATAGCCTACCAACCAAAAAAAGTCCAGGACCACACGGATTCACAGCCGAACTCTACCGGAGGTACAAGGAGGAGTTGGTACCATTCCTTCTGAAACTATTCCAATCAATAGAAAAAGAGGGAATCCTCGCTAACTCATTTTA